GGTAGGGGTGATCAGGCAGGCAGGTGAGTGGTTAGGGGTGATCAGGCAGGCAGGCAGAGGCAGTTAGGGGTTATCAGGCAGGCAGGCAGAATAGTTAGGGGTGATGAGGCAGGCAGGTGAGTGGTTAGGAGCCAGCAGTTCCGCATTGCAAGAGGGATGTCCGACTGCCAGTTTAGGCCTGATCCCACAGGGATCCTGGCAGTTGGACATAGCCCGAGGGGTCCTGGATTGCGAGAAGGTGCAGGCCGGACTGAGGGACCTCCCCCATGCACAAATTTCGTGCACCAGACCTCTAGTTTTCATATAAAAATAATGTTCTTCCCCTAAATCCTTAGGAAAGATTGTGCTCTAAGAAGATGCACCATGTTTATTCTATGGTGTTGAGTGTCTCCAGCTCAGGCACACCACCAGGGGCACACAGCGAAGGGGACCCTAGCCACAATCCACCTGGCAGGGACCAGCAGCAAAGTGATTGAGACCCACAGGGAAGCTGGGAGGAGCAGGGAGAAACAGCTGTGTGTGTGTGTGTGTGTTGGGGAGGGGCGTGGTGTGGGTTGGAGTTGGACAGGAGGTATCCCCTTCTACCCATGTCTTTGCCCACATATTCTAGAGCAAGATTCCTGGAAGGGCATGGAGACAAGCTCCCACTTGGGTTCTGTTGGTCCCCATTGGATGGCTTAATGCACTAAGATTATGTAACAGCCTGACGAGTTATTTACCTGGGAGACTTAACTTTAGAAGAGTATCATTCCTTCTGGTGTGTTTATTGTTCTTTAGAGATTTTTTCAATGTTTTATTTGAATACTTTCCAGGGCCATTTACTCTTTGCCTGACAATTCAGAAATACCTCCCTCCCCTTCATTTTTGTTAATCCTCTCCCATGGATATTTTTCCATTGATTTTCAGAGGTAGAGGGGGATGGAGGGAAAACTGAGAGAGAAAGAGAGAGAAAGAGAGAGAGAGAGAGAGAGAGAGAGAGAGAGAGAGAGAGACATCGATATGAAAAAGGCACATCAGATTGGTTGCTTCCGGTACATAACCGACCTACACCCCCATCGAACCTGCAACCCAGGTACATGCCCTGACCAGGAATCAAACCTGTGATCCTTTAGTATGTGGGCTGATGCTCTACCACTGAGCTACACTGTCCAGGGCAAAAACTAAAGACCCTATGATTTCAATGCCACATCTGGTTATTACCCCTCATACATGTGTACATGTACATACATATGCCCATGTCACATGTCTGTGTGTTCAAAGATGATCCAACAGTGATGCTATCAGTGCCTATGTATAGCTAAAAAGTGAGTTTCTGGTGAGTTTAACTCCCGGTGCAGGTGGCAACCAATAGATGTTTCTCTCTCTCTTCCTCTGTCCCTTTCTCTCTCTAAGACCAATTTTTTAAAAGATTAATAATAATGAATTTTAGAACAACTGTATCATGGCCACTGCAATACACAATCTTCATGTGATACTACCTCTGTTCACATCCTTACCACATCTTAACTCTATTGGTATTTTGTATAATTTTTAAGAGCTCTGCTATTTTACCTTATAGAACTATTGAAAGATATTTACCCCAGTTTGCCCTTCAGTGGTTCCTTTTCATATCTGGAATGTTAGTTGTTTTGCTTTTTTTTTTTTTAACTTAGTCTAAACTATCAATTTTCTTCTTTCTTTTAAAACTTATATTCCTAAAATGTCCTCCCCCATTCCAGGATACCAGAAGTCTAACTTCCCCAGGGTTTCAAGTTTTACATTTAACACACAGGGGATTTTTGCTCCAATATTTTGTGAGGTGCAACTCTGAGCTGATCCCCACTCCCAGTTAATAATTCAGTCTTGTACTGGGTTGTTTACATCCTGTCTATCATACATTTAAATTCTTACACAGACAAGACTATGTTTCAATGCACCAAACTTTAATGGTAAGAAGAGAGTGAAATTGGAACTAGGACCAATGTTCACATATCCCTCTTAATTGGGCAATCATTAAACTTGAGATCATTTAAGGTAGGTTTATAAAGGGATGCCAATGGTTTTGCATGGCTTGAACAGAATATATCTGAAAGTGAACACAGGCAGCAATTACTATGCATCAGAAACTGTTAAATGTCCCCCTCCCACCCCCAATATCCATTTTCTCCTTTGTCTATAGGGAGGAGCAACTGGTTAACTAAAATAAACACTGCTCGGCTGTCCTTGTGGTTGGATGTGGCGGCACCACTACATTCTGTCCAGTGGGAAGTCTGCGAAATGAATGTGTTCAACTACAAGGTCACCCTTTAGTGGAAGGGACATGCCTTTGCATTTACCCCCAGAGCCGCCACCGGGGATCACATAAGCCCCCCAAATATTGAAACAAAAGCAAAGGGAGTTTGGTTCTGCGGTCAGCTCCAGACCAGGACACGTAAGAGAGAAATCAGCATCTATCTTGTTTACAGTGTAAACTTTACACCATCCTACATAGGGTCCCTGATACACACCCAACCCCAAATCCCCAAAGATACACCCTAGCCTAGAAGGACTGTGCTCTTTTTTAATAAGCTTGTAATTATGATGCTTAAGATTGCTACTGTTCAACTCAGTTTTTATCCAGAAGACTACCAATAATGCCAAATGCTGTCTTTGGTTTGTTTTAAAAAAAAAGTCACAGTTCACATTAATGCTGAGCAATGTGCTTCAACCTGGAGAGTGAAGCCCACAGGGAAATGAAAGAGATCCCCTTCTCTGAGGGGAGTCCAGACTGAGCTTAACCCCTAAAGAACTGAGGGGGAAGCATGCCTATCATGTCACCAGCTATTTTGGCAGTTGCCCAGCTTTAAGGTACAGCAGGATTACCTGCAGGACTTGTCAAAACTTCAGCTGCTGGGGTCCAACCCCAGCAGGTCCAGGGGTCCCCAAAGGTGAGGACGGAGTCCTCGAAGAATGATTGACATGAAGACTGTCAGTTGATCATGTAAAGCCTTCCTTCAGCTGTGCCTTATATTGTTCTCACTTCAAACCCTTTGGGATGGAGATGAGGGTGTAAAAAAGGGAGTCTGTTAAGAGAGGAGTGTGAGATGATTGGAGAGATAGATGTTATATTGGAGATTTGTGTCACAGAGTTACTAGGCAAATACTGTTTGTACCACGGAAGCATCAGCTCTGTGGGTGGGGCCATTGGCATCCCTCACAATGTGAAAGTCCAAGTCTTACGGGGCTCATCCATCTCTTCCTTTTGACTTGGTTGCCCCCCACCTCCTCCTGGCACACCAGCCTCAGCCTAGGGTGCCCTGCCCTGTGCAGGACTCACTCCTCAGGAGTGCCACTTTCCCACAGAGGCCTCCTGAACTACCCCACCCCACACTCCCTAGAAACTAGTTCTTTTGCCATATCAAGCAAAAGTTAGAAGTTTAGTGAAAAGAATTTTTAAGAAATCAACTTCATCTGGAGGTGGAAGAGGGAATAGGGAGACTAAATGGTGATTAGAGAAAAAAAATAAAATAAAAAAATAAAAAAGAAATTAACTTTATCAATTGTTTTGCTAGAAAAGTGACAGTTTCAACTGATATAAGATTTGTTGCATTGCTGTGATTATTATGTGTTTATGTAAATTGCTCCTTTGCATATTTAATTTGACAATTACAATTTAGGTAGGTAAATAAATTACATTAAAAGTTACTCAGAAAGTATAGTTACAATGTTAGGTTAGATGTTGATAGCTTTTCATTTTTAATTTAACTTAGTCATCCTTAAATTTTATTTAGTCATCCTTAGCCCTGAATTGAATACAAAGAGTAAGCTTTCTTTGTGACTAAAGCAGATACTGTACACATCCAGTGTGTAATCAGATGTATAGACTATGGCATTACAACTTGATGGGGGTGGGCAATTAGAAAAAAATGTCTGAAAGATCCCCTCAATATGACCCAGCAATCACATGTCTGAGTTCGTGTCCAAAGGTCATTCGATCAGGCTCTTGAAAGGATATCTGCATTCCCATGTTCACTGTAGCGTTAGTACCACTCACCAAGGTATGGAAACAACCTAACTGAATGTCGACAGGTGAACGGGTAAAGACTATGTGATACACACACACAATGGAATGTTATTCAGCCATAAAAAAGAAGGAAATCCTGTCATTTGCAATAACATGGATGGACCTGGAAGACATTATGCTAATTGAAATAAGACACAGAAAGACAAATAACTGTTTGACTCACTTAGATGTGGAAACTCAGAAAATGGAAATCATAGCAGCAGAGAGTAGAATGCTGGTTGCCAAGGGCTGGGGGTGGGAGAAATGCAGAGATGTTTGTTCTTCAGGGAGGCCAAGTTCCAGTTACGCAGGATGAGCAAGTCCTGGAGATCAGCTGTGTAGCGTAGTGCCTATAGCTAGCAATGCTGTTCTGAGTGCTTGAAGTTTGCTGAGAGTATACCTTAAATGTTCTCACTACCAATGAAAGTGGTAACTATGTGAGGTAGGGAATATGTTAATTAACCTGAGGGTGGTTATCATTTCATAGTGTATATCAAATGTCACCTTGTACACCTTACATATTTGTGAATTACTGACAACTGGAAATTATCCTATATAATAAAAGCATAGTATGCTAATTAGACTGGACATCCTTTTGAACATCCTTCCGGAGGACCTTCTCGATGAAGCTGGGGCTGTGAGGGCCGAGGCAGAGGCCACTGGGGGTGAGGGCCAAGCCCCTTGCACGAATTTTGTGCATAGGGCCTCTAATTTGTTCATAATATGTCAATAAAGCTGGTGGAAAACCACACACAAAAATATTTTTTAAAAATTGCTCTTGAGGAAAACAACAGTAACAGGTTAAGCTGCTGCCTTGGCCTGCGTGTTCGATTCCGGTCAAGGGCATGTACCTGGGTTGCGGGCACATCCCCAGTGGGAGATGTGCAGGAGGCAGCTGATCGATGTTTCTCTCTCATCGATGTTTCTAACTCTCTGTCTCTCTCCCTTCCTCTCTGTGAAAGGTCAATGGAATATATTAAAAAAAAAATTGCTCTTGAGGAAAACAACAGTAACAGGTTAAGCTGCTGCCTTGGCCTGCGTGTCAGTGTGAGGTGCACTCTCTCCCATCTTCTCATTTGTTCTCACAGCTTCTCATTGTGCCTCAGAAACTGAGCCTCAACAACAGCCATCTCTGCATTCTTTGGCCTTGTCCTGGGAAATAAGCCAGCCAGGTTGCTGATCCCGGGGACCTCTTCACCCCTGAACCTTTGTCTCAAGTTGGTGGTGGGGAGGGGCCCAGGGCCAGCAGGACCCCTATGTTCCAGAATCAGCTGGAGCTTTCTAAAAACACAGAGTCCCCCCGGCACAGACAGACACACACACACACACACACACACACACGCAAGCACGCATGCACACATGCACAAAACACATATACATCAGCACAAAAATGCTGATTCAAGCTGGGGACTGGCTTGGGAATTGCCTCCTAACTTTGATCAATGACCCAGATTGAGCCTAAAGAACTCAGACTTTGGCACACAAGGACCATTGAGTCATCAAATGACCAACTGCAGGAGGATGGTGCCAAAGGTCCCAAAGGCCCTATTCTGACAAGTGACCTTGACACGTGGCATCTGCCCTTAGGACCCTGGTCCCCTCACTAGTGGTATGGCTGCTGGGTCCCTTTCTGCACACATGTGAGCTTCGTGCTGCTCAGGTATGGTGGGCATTTTGTTCTATTCCTCTTTTACTTTGGGAGAGAGGTGGTTAAAAGGGACCATATGGAGTCTCTTATTCTTATGGTGCTCATATACATTATACAATTACAGAACAAGTGTTGAGGGCTCCTCTAAAGGCAACATGCAAATCAGTGCCCAGGGCAAAACCGGGCACCCACTCAAGTGCAGAGAGGAGGAAGAGGAAGCACAATAAGACCAGGTATGGGAGGCGCTCTGCCCCCGGATGCTGGGGGCTGGGTGCCAGGGAAGGTTTCCTGCAGAGAGGACGTTGGAGCCCAGAAACAGGATGAGTTTGGCAGAGATGGCATTCCTAGTGGAGGAACAGACGGGAAAAAGGCTAGAGGCAAGCGGAGTACTGTGTGGCTGTGTGCATGTGTCCCCATGGCTCAGGGCTCCTGGGAGGCAATGCTGGAGCCCGGGCATCGGGGCTGGGGGACAGGAGACTTGAGGTCTTCAGTTTGCAAAAGGCAAGCATGTGTAAGGCACATGGAAGAGCTACACTTCATCCCAAAGCCCGAGTTCATGGAACCCGAGGATATCCAAGGATGGGCTTCAGGACCCGTGGGGCCCCCAGGAATTGCACTGTCCAGGATTTTGCATGCGCATATGTTTCTGGGGAGAGTGTGCATAGAGCAGTGGTTCTCAACCTTGGCTGCACGTTAGAATCACCTGGGAATCTTTTTAAAATCCTGATGTCTGGGCCTCATCCTCCGGAAATTCTGTTTCTTTATTACTAATGTTGTGGCCCCACCCCATAACAAAGAAACAGAATTTCCGGAGGATGAGGCCCAGAAATCAGGATTTTAAAAAGATTCCCAGGTGATTCTAATGTGTAGCCAAGGTTGAGAACCACTGGCATAGAGAGAATCATCAAACTAAGAACCACAGAAAAGTTATGAACCGTAGCTGAGAGCTTCGGAGCCACTCAGAGGTGTTAAGATGAGACGTGAGAGGTCAGACGGGTATTTCCGAGAGATGGTGGTGGCACCTGGAGGCCAACAGGGAAACCAGTGAAGGCATCCCAGAGAGTGGGGGCAGGGTGAGGTCACCCGTTTCTGATCATCAAAGCTGGAGTCCAGGCCGGTGTGGAAATGACTGTATCGATTTTGTCAGGTGAATCACCACACCTCTGGGCTCCGTGGAGGTTGAACTGCTGGAAAGAGTCCTACTCCTCCCCCAGCTCGGCCAGTAGCTCATGGGGCTGGGTCACCGGCACCCCTCACCCCCATGACTGCCTCGCCATCAAGGCCAGCCCCTAGCATTCTCTATTTGGCCAGCAGCCATGCACTCGGCTCAGGTTTGGTCCAAGGTCTCCAGGCCCAGCAGTGCTGAGCGCCCTTAGTGTGCGCTCGAGCTCCCAGCTGCCCGGCATCCTGGAGGAGGCCCCACACTGGGCGTGAGCTGTGGCCTCAGCCTGGAGGTCATGAAACACAAGTGGGAACCTTGTCCCGGGTCAACAGGGAAGACGCCCTTGGACATAATTCTAACGCTCAACCCCAAGACACTCGGGCAGGCCTGGTTTTCAACAAAGCTCATCCCCAGCTGGCCCGTGAGACACACTTTCCTGGCCCCCAGACCACTCTCCACTTGCCGCAGGCTGAGAAGTCTTGATGACTCAGAGGATTAAGTCTCCGGAGAAGCCTCTGGCTGCCAGGTAGACAGATCTGTACCTGCAAGTGGTTCTTCAATAACAGGGAGTGGCCTTCATTTGCATTGGCTGCTGGGAACTTCCTGAAGATGGTCCCCAAGCCCCTGGAGGCCAGCACCTGCTCGGGGACAAGGGCAACGAGCAGGGAAGAGCGGGGGTGGGTGACAACACCAGACACTCCAGAATCAGGGCAAAAAGGCACGGGGCATGGACCAGGCACCCTGGGCCCCCTCCCACTGCCCCTCACATTCGGGTCTGGGGCTGGGAGATGAACAGGGGCTGCTCCTTCTGGGTGGGCGTGAGGGGGAGGATCCAGGTGCCACAGGTGCCCCCTGACAAACCAGTTTCGTGCCCCCGCCTTGGCTCCCAGGGGAGGAACCAAGTCAGGTCACAGCCTGGCTGGCTTACCTTTCCGAATACCTGAGCGCCTACCAGGGCTGACCTTAGATGGTGGGAAGCAGACCAGAGCACAGGGCCCACCCTACCACCCCCTCCTGTGGCCTGAATGCTGCCCCTCGCCCATTTTTTTTCTGCTCTTGGCAAAGCCCTGACAAACTCATTCACCCCAAGTGCCAATGACAGTGACAGCTCAGAGGACAGGTGTGCTTTTGAAGTAGCAGATGACTCTCATATAGGGAGTGTTCTCTGTGTCCCTCAGGCCCTGGGTCACCGCAAGCTCCACCCCTCCCGGCTCTGTGAGACAGGTGTAGGCATCATCCTGAGTTTATCTAAGAAAGAAACCGAGGCTCATAAAGGTGAGGGAATTTGCAAATGGCGAGTGGCAGAGCGAAAATTCAAACCGGGGCCTGACCCAGGGACGCCCCTTGCAGCCATCCAGCTCCTGGTGGCTCTGTGCTCTCTTTGCAGACTCTTGGAGGTAGATACTAGAATATGTTGGATCAAGACAAATTAAACAGAGCCCGTAATATGCTAATAGGCCCAGCAAAATGTGTTCATAGGCCAGAAAAGGTTGAGCATATGCCTGTTTCTCAAATTTATTTTGAGTTGAATAGTCTCTTGGGACCAAGGAACATATTTTGGCAACTATTGAGCTAGTTAGTCCTTTCATCCCACAGATGGGAAACTGAGGCCCAGGGAGAGGCAGGGCCTTCCCTAAGGCTCACTGTGACAAAATCAGGACCTGAGCTCCAGCCCAGGCGTTGGTGGTCTAGGGCCTGTCACCACTCGCACTGTGGGGAAGGGACTGGTTTTGATTTTCATCTCTGCCCACTGGCCCTGAGGCTTCTTGGTCGGTCAGAAATGTCTCTGAAGGGTGAGTGGGGGTGCTGCCTGCCTAGGGGAGGAATGAGCTAGGTGAGGAGACACGTATCTGGTTCTGCTCTGGGAAGTTTGCTCTGTGGCTGCCCTCCTAACCTCTGGCCTGGACCCAGGCAGGAGGAGCCTGGGGTGAGAGCTCGAGCGCCCTCCACGTCCTGCAGCTCCTGCCTGTCCCAAGGTGTCTGGGCTGCTGGCCTCCCCTCCTTCCATTGCAGAGCAAGCAGTTCCTTGTGGAACACCCCGTTCCAGGTGTGCCCATGGTGCAGCTGCCTGGTGAGCTGCAGGGAGAGGAGAGTGGGTGTCTGGTTTGGTCTGACGTCCATCTGCACTGCCTGGGATTGGCCACGGGAGGAGCAAACTGGCTGGATAAACCTTCCCTGCTGTCCTGTGATCACGGGACCAAGGATCCCATAGCACTTCATCTTGCCAGCCACATGCTCTGTTCTCAGCCACTGTCCAAGGTCATGTGGACACTGTCCAAGGTCATGCGAGCCTGGGGCAGCCCCTGGATTGGAGTTGACATTGATGCTGGGGGTCATTCTCAGAGCTTGTGTGGGGTGCCGGGTTAAAGTCCAGACTGGGAATGCAGACCGATATGGGCCCACATGTTGCTTCTTGATCACTTGCACAGGTTATTTGCTTCTGTGGGCATTAGTGTTCTCATCTGTGAAACGGAGGTGATAACAATGCGCACCTCATAGCATCAGAGGAGGGCGTGTGTGTACAGAGCTTCCCACCATGCCTGGGACACAGTAAGCAATCAGTTAGTACCGGGATCGTCATTTTCAATATTGTGAAGAGGCTACTAGCATTTCAACTCCCCAGGGCTGTGAATTGTTCGGGAATCCACCGATTCTTCCTGGTCAGAGAGCTCAGCGCACTGCTGAGCGAGTCCTGACTCTTCCCCATCCTCTGGCCCAGGGCTCTGGACGCTGGCTGGAGAATGGCTGGGAGAGTGGAGCAGGATTAAACT